CCCCCCCCCCCCCCCAAGTACCCGGGTGTCTCCCCTTAACTACCCATTATTATTATTAGGTTCGAACAAACTTCCATTCCAAACCAAATTTCTTGTACAAATTGGTTTAAACAAATTAAATTCATTCTAATTTCCGATTATTAAATTTCGTACACATAATAAAATCACCTTGTGACGCAGCCAGGATGTTCAACAGCAAATTTACATCTTAAATCTGTGACACCAGTAATCCCAATTTCTTTTTTAATGTTGTGCTCACAATGTTTGTGATAAAATGTTTGTAATACTCACAATGTTTGTGTCCGTTATGTAATAAGGAGATTCCTGGTTGCCGAAGTAAGCAATAATCAAACAAGGGTGGATGAGGTAGGACATGTAGGATAGGCGTCCTAATGGGACAAACGGTGACCATGACAAGATTTTGTTGACAGGACCTAAGGAGATGTTATGTTAAATGAGAACACAAAAGATTGTTACATTTCTATTGAAGACAGCTAGTATCTGAGAACGGTAGCATGGCTGGGGATGGTAACAGTCACACCTATTGATAGCAACACAGCTTAGGATGGTAACAGTCACACCTATTGATAGCAACACAGCTTAGGATGGTAACAGTCACACCTATTGATAGCAACACAGCTTAGGATGGTAACAGTCACACCTATTGATAGCAACACAGCTTTGGATGGTAACAGTCACACCTATTGATAGCAACACAGCTTAGGATGGTAAAAAAAAACTGGAGATGGTACACATCTGGGATGATAACACTGTTGGGGATGGTAACACACCCATAATTGTAACATATGTGGATTGGTAAGATAGCTAGAGATGGTGACTGCTGGGGGATGGTAAGATAGCTAGAGATTGTAGCACATTTGGGGATGGTAGCACATCTACATAAGATTGTAATCTACATAATTCTTCCCAACAAGAGACGATTAGGTTACCCACCACCACATCCCGAAGCACAGGCCACGATGACCCAGGCCACACTGGCTCCCCAGGCTGACCTTGACACGGCATTGTAGAAGGAAGCCACGCCCACGCTGCTGAACCGTTCTCCACTAATGTCACCTCGGATTCCGTACAGAACGGACAGAGCCGTCGCTATGGCAACAGCCCAGCCGCTGACGGCCACAACCTGTGATGTCATCAGTGAGAGATTGAACTGTGTCGTTTTAAACTGGGCTCCTTAAAGGACAATTTTCTGCAATGGTTAGTCGGAGCTAGTCGGAGCTAGTCGGAGTTAGTCAGAGTGAGTGAGTCAGGGTGAGTGAGAGCTAGCCAGAGCTAGTTAGTCAGTGCTAGTCAGAGCTAGACATAAATTGTAACATTATTTAGGTGTCTTAAAACCTGTCTATTAAATTGCAAACCTTAGACATTTGAAGTCTTCCATTCTTTGATGCCAGCAGATAACCGGCCAAGATGCCAACCACGTAGGGACCAATCCGGCAATACGGAGCATAATAATAGTAGAGTTGCCAGTTCAATGCTCCTGGCCTAGACAGACAAAGGAGATCATATGTATTAAAATTGTTATATTCACTCAAGCAACCCCATGGCAAAATGGGTCCTGTCAGTTTCACAACCCGATCACATTTTGGGTCATTTCCTTCACACCTTCTGCGTGCCTCGACCCCTAGCAAGTTAGTTGCCTGAAACTTTTTTTCACAGCATGCGGGATAACTGACAAAATGATGAGTGCGGGCCATATCATCATTCTGTACAATACTTGTAAGCCAGATCGAAAACTCTGGGAAAAAGACGAAAAACTAAGTTTGATATTCCATGTTAATCATGGGTGAGTGGCGTGCAATGCACACACAACAAAAGACGACCAACATATGTATTTACTAAAACATGTTATCAAAGAAGGCGACGTTAGCAAAAAGATAGTTACACCAGACGTAGTGCGACATATCCGAATCTCACAAACTAAGCAGCAAAAGAGGTTAGTGAGATTTGTGACACTGACGTTTAGCTTTCAAGATATCACTGCTGTGTGATAAGGCAAGTCACAGAATTCAGAATTAATTTCTTCAAGAAAAGCCTGGAACTGACGGTGATTGAGTGCATGTCATCTGACGGTGATTGAGTGCATGTCATCTGACGGTGATTGAGTGCATGTCATCTGACAGGTGATTGAGTGCATGTCATCTGACGGTGATTGAGTGCATGTCATCTGACGATGATTGAGTGCATGTCATCTGACGATGATTGAGTGCATGTCATCTGACGGTGATTGAGTGCATGTCATCTGACGGTGATTGAGTGCATGTCATCTGACGGTGATTGAGTGCATGTCATCTGACGGTGATTGAGTGCATGTCATCTGACGGTGATTGAGTGCATGTCCTCGAATGAAGTTCAGACGAGAAATGACTGGTGTCAGTACATAAGAAACGTCTCAGTCTGTCCCACACAGTGCTTGATGATGTATGATGCAGTGTATGAACAGAGTGCTTGATGATGTATGATGCAGTGTATGAACAGAGTGCTTGATGATGTATGATGCAGTGTATGAACAGAGTGCTTGATGATGTATGATGCAGTGTATGAACAGAGTGCTTGATGATGTATGATGCAGTGTATGAACAGAGTGCTTGATGATGTATGATGCAGTGTATGAACAGAGTGCTTGATGATGTATGATGCAGTGTATGAACATAGTGCTTGATGATGTATGATGCAGTGTATGAACATAGTGCTTGATGATGTATGATGCAGTGTATGAACATAGTGCTTGATGATGTATGATGCAGTGTATGAACAGAGTGCTTGATGATGTATGATGCAGTGTATGAACAGAGTGCTTGATGATGTATGATGCAGTGTATGAACAGAGTGCTTGATGATGTATGATGCAGTGTATGAACAGTGTGCTTGATGATGTATGATGCAGTGTATGAACAGAGTGCTTGATGATGTATGATGCAGTGTATGAACAGAGTGCTTGATGATGTATGATGCAGTGTATGAACAGAGTGGTTGATGATGTGTGATGCAGTGTATGAACAGAGTGCCCGGAATTTTCAAATCTTGCAACTGAGTCCTGACCTGCCCCACCAG